TTTGGTCCGGTTGTGGGGCCTGAACTCTGGGACTGGGCGCTGTCCCACAGCTCTTCAGCTCAAGGCTAGTGCCCTACCACTTAAGCCACAGTGCCACTTCCGGCTTTTTTCTTTTTCTTATGTGGTGCTGAGGAATCAAACCCAAGGCCTCAGGCATGCAAGGCAAGCGCTCTACCACTGAGCCAACTTCCCAGCCCCTGAGGATCATAGTTTGAAGCCAGCTTCGCCATCAAAGCCCAGGAGACTCTTCTCTCCAATTAACTACCAAAAAAGCCTGAAGAGGAATTGTGGCTCAAGTGGTAGAGTTCTAGCCTTGAGCACAAAAGCTCAAGAACAGTGCCCAGCCCCTGAGTTCAGGCCCTAGGACACACACAAACTGTCTGTCTGTCTGTCTACCTGCCTGCCTGCCTGCCTGCCTGCCTGTCTGTCTGTCTGTCTCCCTCTCTCTCCCCCTCCCCCCTCTCTCACATGCGTGCACACACACACACACATACACACACACACACACGTAAAATAGTACTGGTGTGCCAGGCACCAGTGGCTGACTCCTGTAATCCTAGTTACTCAGACTAAGATCCGAGGATCTGTTTGAAGATAGGCTGGCTGGTCAAGAAAGTCTCTGGGACTCTTATTTCAATTAAACACCAAAAATCTAGAAGTAGAGCTATGTCTTAAGTGGTAGGGTGCTAACCTCAAGGAAAAAACCTCAGAGACAACATCCAGGCAGGCACACAGGATGGGCACACATATATACAAAAAAATAGGTGATGAGCTGTTTCCTCTCAAATACAGATATTCAACCTCTCTCTCTCTCTCTCTCTCTCTCTCTCTCTCTCTCTCTCTCTCTCTCTCTCTCTCTCGTGCTGGTCCTGAAGCTTGAACTCAAGGCCTGGGCACTGTCTCTGAGCTCCTTCCTTCCTTTCTTTTCTTTTCTTGTGGTTTAGTGGAGATGATTCTCACAGACTTTCCTGCCCAGGATGGCTTTAAACTATGATCCTTAGCTCTCAGCCTCCCAAGTAGCTAGGATTACAAATATGAGCCACCAGAACCCAGCTTCAACACCTCTTTTTTTTTTTTTTTTGCAGTGCTTCCATTAAGGAGAATGTGGAGGTGATTCGACTTAAGAAGCTCTTATATGAAAGGAATACCTCATTAGCAATGACTAAAGCACAATTAGCAGAAGTTCAAGAGGTGAGTTACTATGCTTTCTTTAGGTGGGGAGCAGGGAATCAATCAGTTAAGAAATCTAGCCGGGCACTAGTGGCTTATACCTGTAATCCTAGCTATCAGGAGGCTGAAATCTGAGGATTGTGGTTTGAAGCTAGTCTGGGCAGACAAATCTGAGAAACCCTTATTTCCAATGAACCAGCAAAATGTTGGAAGTAGGGGCTGGGAAGATGGCTCAGTGGTAGAGTGTTTGCCTCGCATGCATGAGGCCCTGGGTTCAATTCCTCAGCACCACATGAGCAGAAAAAAAAAGCCGGAAGTGGCGCTGTGGCTCAAGTGGTAGAGCGCTAGCCTTGAGCTGAAGAGCTGAGGGACAGCGCCCAGGCCCAGAGTTCAGGCCCCACGACCGGACCAAAAAAAAAAATGTTGGAAGTAGAGCTGTGGTAGTACACCAGCCTTGGGCAAAATAAAAGCCAAGGGAAAGCCAGGTGCTGGTAGCTCACACCTATAGTCATAGATACTCAGCAGCTGAGATCTGAGGATCACAGTTCAAAGCCAGCTTGGACAGAAAAGTCTGTGAGACTCTTTTGTTGTTGCTGTTGTTGGTTGTGGCATTTGAACTCAGGGCCTGGGTGCTGTCCCTCAGCTCTTCAGCTCAAAGCTAGCGCTCTACCATTTGAGCCACTGAACCACTTCTGGCTTTTTCTGCTTATGTGGTGCTGAGGAATCAAACCCAGGGCCTCATGCATGCAAGGCAAGCACTCTACCACTGAGCCACCTTCCCATCCCTTTCTGACTTTTTTTTTTTGGTCTGTTGTGAGGCTTGAACTCTGGGTCTGGGCACTGTTCTTTAATTTAAGGATAGCATTCTACCACTTGAGCCACAGTACCACTTCTGGCTTTTCCTGTTTATAGGGTACTGAGGAATTGAACCCAGGGCCTCATGCATGCAAGGCAAGATTCTACCCCTGAGCCACCTTCCCAGCCCCTCTGATTTTTTAAAATTATTTTTTTCTGTTGGAAGAAGGCTCAAGTACTGTCTGCTGTAGTTGAATTAAATGAGTTTAGTTGTGCCAGGGTTAATAAGATACCAGCCAAGAGCCACACTAACACTGTACCAACTGAGCCAACCCTCCAACACCCAAGAGCCATACTGGAATGTAACTAAATTAGGCAGCCTCTTGGCAATCATAGGGCAAGGGCAGGAAATAAACCTTTATCAAATATGTTCTGCATGTGGAATGGACTCTTGTCTTATGTGCTTTCAGTCAGGAGCTCAGTTGACATTGACAACTCTCCAGGTAGGTGCCTATGGCAAATGAGGGAACCACACCTCCAGTCAGGTAATTGGCTCAAATTACAAGACACAGAGCAGAATTGAGTCAGGATGGCAGCAAAGATCCTTGCCTCCTTTTCCCACATTAGAAGCTAATATCTAAAGGGTAAAATAGTGGTGGCTCAGTGGTAGAGTGCTTGCCTTGCAAGCATGAGGCCCTGGGTTCGATTCCTCAGCACCACATAAACAGAAAAAGCCGGAAGTGGCGCTGAGGCTCAAGTGGTAGAGTGCTAGCCTTGAGCTGAAGAGCTGAGGAACAGCACCCAGACCCAGAGTTCAGGCCCCATGACCAGCAAAATAAATAAATAAATAAATAAAGGGTAAAATAGAGTGTTAAGAGTCTTGTCAAGCTAGATGCTGGTTGCTCATGGCTGTAATTCTAGCTACTAAGGTGGCTGAAAACAGAGGGTCATGGTCTGAAGCCAGCTGTAAGACTCTATCTCCAATTAACCAGGAAAAAGCTTGAAATGGAGCTTTGGCTCAAGTGGCAGAGCTCTAGCTTTGAGAAAAAAATACTCAGGGATAGCACCCAGCCACTGAGTTCAGGCAAAAAAAAAAAAAAAGCTTAGCATCATCTTACTCAACACCAAGTACTAGGAACTGTGCAAAGCACTGAGAAACAAACATTACAATGATGTGTGGCTTTCCAGCCTCTAAAACTCTTATAGGAGAACAGCACATTAACAAGTATGAAGGGGATGGGGCAGCAGGAAAGGGAAAGGAATCAGACCTGCTTAGGTGGTCACAGTACATAGTGAAGGGCTTTCCAGAGAAGGATGGGTAGGGGCCAAGGCACAAAGTGAGCCATCAGGTCTGAAGCCCAGGAAAGGAATTTGACTTTATCCTCTAGATGGTAGGGAGTAAAGAAAGTTTTAAGCAAGTTGATAAGGTTTTAGTATATGTGCTACTGAAGGGAGCCTTGCAATTTATTTATTTATTTATGCCAGTCTTGGGGCTTGATCTCAGGGCCTGATCAATGTCTCTGAGTTTCTTTTGCTCAAGGCTAGCACCACTCTAGCGCCACTTGCAGCATTTTCTGTTTATGTGGTACTGAGGAATTGAACTCAGGGCCTCATGCATGCTAGGTAAGCTCTCTATCACTAAGCCACATTCCCTGCCAACCTCCACAAAATATTGTGTGTGTGTGTGTGTGTGTGTGTGTGTGGGTGGGTGTGTATGTGTGCTGGTATTGAGGTTTGAACTCAAGATTTCCTACTTGTTAAGTAGATGTTGCATCACCCTGCAAGTTAATAAATATAATGAACCAAAAGATCACTTATGGGCTGGGAAGGTGGCTCAGTGGTAGAGTGCTTGCCTTGCATGCATGAGGCCCTGGGTTTGATTCCTCAGCACCACATAAGCAAAAAGAAAAAAGCCAGAAGTGGCACTGTGCCATAAGCAGAAAAAGCTGGAAGTGGTGCTGTGCCTCAAGTGGTAGAGCTCTAGCCTTGAACTGAAGAACTGAGGGACAGTGCCCAGGCCCAGAGTTCAGGCCCCACGACAGATCAAAAAAAAATCACTTACTCTTTTATTTAAAAAAAAAAAAGAAGCTGGACACTGGTGGCTCACACCCATAATCCTAGCTACTCAGGAGGCTGAGATCTAAGGATTGAAGTTCAAAGCCAGCCCAGGCAAGAAAAACCCATGAGACTCTTTTTTTTTCCCCCCCAGTTGGTGGGTCATGGGGCCTGAACTCTGAGTCTGGGCCCTGTCCCTCAGCAATTCAACTCAAGACTAGTGCTCTAACACTTGAGCCACAGTGCCACTTCTGGCTTTTTCTGCTTATGTGGTGCTGAGGAATCAAATCCAGGCCCTCATGCATGCAAGGCAAACGTTCTACCACTGAGTCACTTTCTCAGCCCCTCTAGGAGACTCTTATCACCAATAAACCACAAGAAAACTGGAAGTGGTCCTGTCACTAAAGTGGTAGAGCACTCGACTTGAGCTGAAGAGTTGAGAGACAGGACCCAGAACCAAAGTTCAAGCCCCACGACCAACAACAACAACAAAAAAGGAGTGAAATATGTTTTAGTAGATATGTTAAATTTCCATTGCTGTGACATAATACCTGAAATAAACAACTTAAAAGGATGATAGGTTTCTTTGGGGTTTTATTTATTTGCTTTATTATTATTGTTGTTCTTATTTTTTGAAAGATTTACTTCAGCTTCAAGTTTCAGAAGTTTGAATCTATGTCTGGCTAGATCCCTTGCTTTCATGTCCATGGTGAAGCAGACCATCATGGCAGACAGGGAGCAAAAAGTACAAGAGTAAGGGGCCAGGGATAAGATCTAAACTACAGGGGCTGGGAAGGTGGCTCAGTGGTAGAGCGCTTGCCTTGCATGCCTGAGGCCCTGGGTTCAATTCCTCAGCACCACATAAAGAAAAAAGTCGGAAGTGGTGCTGTGGCTCAAGTGGTAGAGCACTAGCCTTGAGCTGAAGAGCTGAGGGACAGTGCCCAGGCCCAGAGTTCAGGCCCCAGGACTGACAATTAATAATACTAATACAGACTAGGGGGCAAAGAAATCAGATAGGAGACCCTTGCAGGGGTTCCAAGAAGACAAAGGTCCTGGAGAGCGGTGAAAGATAACTGCTAAGAAGGGAATTTTTTAATTTTTTTTTTTTTTTGGTTGTGTGGCCTGAACTCCAGGCCTGGGCGCTATCCCTCAGCTCTTCAGCTCAAGGCTAGCACTCTATCACTTGAGCCATAGTGCCACTTCCAGCTTTTTTGCTTATGTGGTGTTGAGGAATGGAACCCAGGGCCTCAGGCATGCAAAGCAAGCACTCTACCACTGAGCCACCTTCCCAGCCCCTAAGAAGGGAATCTTATTTGAAAGGTACAGGAAGTAGAGGAATGGACTTCACCACTGAAAAGGAATAGGGGACCAGAAGAAATGGAAGTAGCTTTGAAACTTCTTGCTTAAATAAGTAGGTGATGGTGCTCTCAGTGAGATGAGCCCTCACTACTTCCTCTAAGTGTGTGTGCTTTGAAAGGGATTAGAGAACTTTTTCCTTTCTTTTTTCTTTTTTTTCCTTTTTTTGGGTCTGGTCATAGGGCCTGAACTCTGGGCCTGGGCACTGTCCCTCAGCTCTTCAGCTCAAGGCTAGCGCTCTACCACTTGAGCCACAGC